CATTGGCAGCGCCGTTATAATGCGGTCGGTATGCCGAGGGCTTATTCGGGTGGTGAATGTGATGCGATGGTAATGAGTCGAGTCGCACCTCCCGTAGAAGCGGCGACAGCGACTGGCAGGTAATCGGGCACTTTGGTAGGTGCGAAGCTCGGCGCGTCCAAGCTCAACCGAAGTCGTCGATAAGAAGATTACGATAAGAGGGGTGGAATTTATCGATAAGATTAGATAAGTAATCATGGTGGGGTCTCCTTTTGCCTCCAGCTTCCATTGCTCTCCTTTGGTTCATCACCATCCAAAACTCCATTATCAACTATCGCCTCTTTGGCTTCTAGCCCTGCGCCCTATCCCTATGAAAAACGTACGGTCACATACCTCGACAGGAAAGACCAATTGCCGGCCATGACTATGCAATGACAATTGGTGCAAACGAGACATTGGCTGGCTTGCTTGCGAACTCGCTCACCAGACCCCACCACTTGGATCGAATTACATCTAGACAATGACATGATTTCCTGGATTCCCGGAACTTCGCCTTCTTCGAACCAATGTATAGTCTCGAAAATTTATTTGCAATATCTCTAGAGCGATTCTTCGTATCAAGTCATCCGCCATCAATCTCATAACTCATCGTCTTGGCCACACGTCGCTCAGAGGAGTCGATCAGCCCTCAACGTTCCATGTTGCCATCGTCCCTTGCACAGGGATTTCTCTCGATAACAGCCGCGATGCAACATCGTACAGCCCACGCTACTTCAAATACGGGAACGCCAGACACTACTACTGAGTCACCCGCGATTGCTGTCGTCGCCACCAACTATTACGCCACCAAGTATTAGGTGCGTTGAGAATCAGGCAGGTCGCCTCAGCATGTAGCTGCCAGCTGTCTCGTTATGCTCTCCGAGGCCTCATTCTCTTGGACTTCTCGACTCTCCCTCTCGGAGCTCTCGCTGGCTGGAATGTCCTGGTCCTCCCCGCCTCTCTTGCCCGCCGCCGTTCTCCCCTGTCAAGCGTCAGCAAAGTGTATGATCAAGGACGATTGTCAGATTCTACATACAAAAGCTGGTACAGCTCTTCAGTCTCAAGGTCTGATATGGCTGAGTCCGAACCACGACGTTCATATCCCACCTCGATGGGCCCTTGTGGTAACGATACTGCGGGCAACGGCACTGCAGGTGCTGCTGGGATATCGACTTCCCTATGGCTGCTGACCTCGGGAGATATGGGCGAATTCGAAGCCAATACCGTATTTTCCGATAGCCTGGGCACACTCAATTCCAAGCCTGGGTCTTGCTCGTTGTCTTTCGAAGCAAGTTCCCACATCTGATACGCTAGTACTTCGTGGGGGTGGACTGAGGACAAGTAATGCGTCAATGGCTGCTCCGCTTTGGCATCTTCGGTGCCTTCGGTAGTCCCGAAAGGCGACGTGCTACGCTCGATCTGTTCATACACTCCAGGTACTCTTCTCTTCCCAAGAATTACCGATCCGCAGTCGGAAGAGTTCGCGTCGCGCCCGTCATCGTTGTCGGGAGGCAGCCATAGCGCCCGTCTCTCATGCGATTGAGGGCATGCCAAGTACGATTCCAACGGCCCAGCGGTTGGTGGTGTTTTTGACGCCAAGCTACCAGACGATGAAGCCTCAGGCGTTGCTGGAGTTCCAGGCCGCGAACGCGCTGCTCGTACTGTCTCGTCATGTTGCAAGTGTATACTCTTGGCAGTGCTTCCATTGACATCCACGATAGACTCAGGAGATGGGGCGGATGACCGACGAAAAGCTTGTTTTGGGAGCTCAATCTCTGGGCTGTTTTCCATTAGAACACATTTCTCGTTTCGCCGAGCAGAGTGAAAGTTACCGGAACACACTGTTCTCCTCTATCCTCGGTTCTAAGCTGATGCTGGATCCGCCGGGTGATCTCGATCCATCGCGACAGAAGCCAAGTACGTTGACCTCCGGGCTCATGCCAATACCATGATATTCGATGTTCTCCAAGTCGGGATAGGAACCAGAATTCGTTATGGTCATCCTGCAGGACGAAAACACCACACTAACAAGGCGTACGGCTTCTCTCTTCGCCAGTTGAGTTCGAATCAGCAATGATCGATGGTGCTAGCAGCCAGCTTTGGGTAAGGGAGTGAGTAGAGCAGGAAAAGCAAAGATTGCACAGAATGAGTCCTCAAACTGGAGGACAAAAAGTCGTACTATCCTCTGATCTTTTCTTTCGGACTCTCGCACACGCCAACACAGGACGAGCAAGTCCCAAGCTGGCGGCGCAGCAAGGCGACCACTATCACGCTTTGAGAAATCCCGAATCCAGAGCGTTGGGTTCCGGCCCGCGTGAAAGTCTGCACATTGGCGAGACAGGGAACGGTCACACTTTTAACTGACCACCTTCATCGTCCCAGGCCGAAGCCTTTTCTGCAGACGGACGCTCCTACAATCCCTGGACAAGACAAAAAGGTCTGGCGACAGGATGGTGATACGACCACTCGTTGATTATGGTGGGGTTGTGCAGGGTTCCCGACAGAATGGCACACCAATTCCTGGGAGATCCTGGGCGGCAATAAACAGCCACTCTTCCCCGTGGCTCCCACCGCGGAAGCTCGGCGGGGAGACGCCAACAGGGCTTGATCGGGGGGGCCCTGGTTGTCATTCTTTCTTTTTTGTCATGGCACCCAATCCCCAACTTCATTTCAAGAAGCAGCTGCCTCGTCTGAGAGGGTGCCGTTTGGCTGGAAATTGCGCCGGTGGTATGGATAGATGCCGCTGCAACCCTCTTCCCCTTGCTTGCCAACGGGGTTTGCTCTGCCCATCCATTTTCTGCATGTCTCTGTCTGCAAGTTTCTACGGAGGTGTGGGAGGACTCATGGATGGGCTGATGGGCGTGTAGTTTGACGATGATTGACATGCACAGCTCACCACATGAGTGAAAAAAGCAAATCTTGCTCATTGCTGCTAGGATGGCTCTGTCTGTTAATGAGCGAAAGCGGACTCGAACGTTGCATTGAAGACTATCATTTGCCCATCCGGGAGAGACTTGCATCCATCACAAAAGCACAGAGCCGAGCGCATTACTGAATTATTGAAGACTTAATCTCTGTGTTGCAGACTTGCATACACGTCAGCGGCATTCTCATCCGGATATAAGACTTCGGGATTTGAACATTCTCTCAATTCTCAAGTTCCTCAATTGCTGCCACCTTGTATCATCTCACCTTTTATGGTTCCGTTTGTCTTTCCCGTCAAAGTTTTGACTTCGACTCGGCATTCATCCCCATGCAGGGAGGCGTTGTTAATGGGCTGGGATTGGCAAGAGATTCGTCAGTTGTTCAGGGGCAGCCCGGACGTCCCGTCGCGCCCGCTCCTCCTTACCATTCTGCTGGGTCGTCCCCGCCGTCAACTCGTGTGTTGGCAGATTGTGCGGCCCTGGCGAACCATCACATCTTTCGAACATTTTCTATCAACTTCATCCTCCTCCCTTACTCTCGGGACCAGACTGCAGATCTAAATGATACATCATTCATGCTGTGGATCTGCAAAGCCAGGTCTCGACGAATTGCGTTCTCGACGCTACGATTTCGGTCTATGTGTAAGTTTCCTCATGCTTGGCGCTGCTCATCCCTCATGTTTCTTCGACCTCCTTCGCATGAAGTACCCAGTCACAGTCGCAATGCCAACTGGTCTGCGAAATCGTTAGCAAAGACGCCGCAGCCTGTCTGGCTCACGTACCCAACTCACAGCAACAACACCCGGAACACGCCCACCGCCATGCCCATCCTCAGTCCAGTCCAGCACTCCGCCGACTGCTCACCGTATTCATTGCAGAGAGCCTTGTCTAGATTGGCCTTTATCGCAAAAATGAGATATGATCCCGTCGCAGTGGCGTTGAGACAGAGGAGGGCAGCAAACCCAACGGAGAGAGCCATCCCAAACCAAGAGCACGCCACCAAGGTGACGATGATCCAAGCGCCAACCTCGACGCACATGGATATCAGCGATATCATGCTGCGTGTCTTTGTGTCAGTGTTACCGAGTCGACTGGCTTACAAGAACGACGAGCGAGATGGGCAGAAACTCACGAGACAAAGTCGGCCCTCTGAACCAGTCCCGGAAACTTCTTGACTCGTTGAAGGCTCTGTGAGGAGATGACAATTGCAATGATCTCGAAGATGATGAGGACTACATGTCCCGTGAATATTACCGCTCCACCATTCTCTGGCTTGGACCACCCCCGTGATGACGGCGGCCTCACGCGAGACCTTATTGGCGGATGAGGCCTGCTCGATGCACCATTTGTGCTGTTCCTAAGAGTCTTGAGTGAGCTAAACTTGCCGGTCCAACTCCGAGTCTTATCGGTGTTGGCGTTATGATCTGTCCAAGGTTGTTGCGCTGTTGGCGACGGGGGCGGAAATCCGGACCCATTGGTTCCATGGGCCCTCCGTTGTGACTGGTGAGCGCTGGCGGACCCGACCTGCGCCTCCGGATCGCTATCGTCAACCATCCTGATGAATGTCGATGCGGCTTGCTTTTCTCTCGATTGAGTCTTTGTTTGAGAGAAATCTGGAGTCTCGTGAAAACCCACTCGGGCTAAGGTATGAGCTTATGAGTCTTGAGTGAGCACTTTTTCACTTCTTTCTGAGGCGCTTCATCAGGCACCCGGGGCAAAGTGAGGCGAAGGCCTCCCTCAGCCGCTAAGCACGATTCTGCCTCGTTGATCGGCAAACCCGCCAGACTAACTCATTCAGCCCAGCTACGGAGCCGCTTAGCTGACTCACAGTAAACTTAAGGCTTCGCTCCATGCTTTTGATAAGTCTTCGATGTTCGATGTGGACCAATCTGCCTACTCAGTGAGGCGCAACCACATCTCAAGTTACCATCGTGATGATGCAACATCGACCACCACGGTTCAGACTCAAACGTCGCATTTGATGAGTTGCCGAGTCAAGCTGATGTACGAAGTTTGAGGGCTATCTGGAGAGTGCCGTGTTATTCACGTATCCCCTCTTCAACCTTTCAGAACATCCAGCGGAAACCTGGTCGCGATTTCCTGATACCCAGCCACATTCGGATGCAAATGATCACCACCATCAAACTGCGCCTTCAGCTTATCCCCATCACCAATAAACCCCGCAAAGTCCACGACATGATCAAATGTCCCACTCTCCAGAATCCACTTATTCACCCTCACACGCGTCCGCTCCCTCTCCGCGTTCGAGTACGCCTGCCCGCTCCCCGCAAACGGCGTGATGGTGGCCCCGACGGTAGCTAGCCCGGCCTTCTTGCAGTCGGCCACAATCTTCTGGTACGCGGCGATGAGCCCGTCGCCGATGCGCTGCTGGGAGCCCGTATCGGTACCGCCGCCGCCGATATCGTTTACGCCTTCAAAGATGAGAACGCGGGAGACGCCTTGCTGGGTGAGCGCGTCGCGGGAGTAGCGGGTTAGGAGGGTGGGGCCGAGGCCGCCGCTGAGGACTGCGTTGCCGCCGGCTGCTTGGTTTGCGATGGCGAGGTTTGTTATTCCCTCCTTTTGCAGGCGTGCCAGAAGAAGGTCGGGCCAGCTGTGAAGATATCAGTTGATTGAGATTGTCATGAGACGGCCTTGGCTAACCGGTTGTTCTTGTCATCGTCGCTCCCACGTCCATCCGAGATGCTATCTCCAAGAACAATCATCGCAGACGTGTTCCTGGGAGCCCACACTTCCACAGCACTAGCAAAATACCAGTGCTTTGTGCTAGCACCTCCGATAGACGATGTATTCACCTGATTCCCAGTCTGCATCCATGACGTCGTGCGACTGCCGGGGTGTCCCGTGATACGAGTCCCAGACTGGCCTTGCTGGGAGTACAGACTTAGCGCGATGTTTGCCTGCGGTTGCACCTTAAAGTCTATCGGGTCAGAGTAAACGACCGCGCCTTGCTTGATAATCACAGATGGAGACCCGGAGAAAGTGAGTCCCTTGGTGGTGGCAGGATCAATTCCAGATACGCCTGCGGCTCCGCCGAGTGGAAAGGCGACGGAGGCTGCTGTGATGGGCAGATCTGAACCCCCAAAGGTGTTTGTAAGCTGGAAACGGATGCGTGATGCGCCGATAGAAGCGTGGAAGGTCTGACGAAGCGTCGCGTTGCGGAACTGAATACTTCCTCCATTCTACGAGAGTCATATTAGTACAGGCACGGTGTAGGGGAAGAAGGCAGCATACGTATGGCGAAGGTGGAAGATTACTCTGTTCCACCTCTTGGGTCATAGACGTCCATGTCACGACCCAGTGGTTGTCGTCTTGTCGTTCGTAGAGGTTATTGTCAATCGGGATGGCGAGGGCGAGCGTTGCCCAGAGAAACAGCAGGTATGCCAGCATTACGAAAACCCGCAATGCAAACTCACTTCGGTGGATTGACAAGGGTTCTCACTATTCTCGAGGCTGGAGGCAGTCGGGCTTCATCGTTGATATATAACTGCTTTTCGTTTCAAACCTCGGAATGAAGCCGTCCGAATTTGGACTGTTTTAACCCCTCCACCACGTGGCTTTTAGCCAGATCATCCCTGGTCCAAATTTATTTCCCGTACATCCGTACATCAGCCAAAGTGCGGATGAGACATAGCTAGAGACGAAGATGTGAGGACGAGTCAAGGGTTCCCTGGTTGTGGTAGACAAGCTTTGCAGACGAGATGCCGGGTCCCCAGTCTCCATGTTAGTCCCGGCGCCGAAAGCCTGCACTGGCGTACCACTCCATTCATCCCACTTGCATGTCTCATGTCGTCGGGCTACGTTGGAAAAAAGCAAACATCACGCAAAGTCACATTTAACCGTCCAGGCCTGACGAGCAAGGCTCGGAATGGATTGTCAGGCCAGACACAGCCTCGGGAGTGGAAAGTAGCAGATTCTGGGGGAAGCCAGATGGGCTCTTACTGTTTCCTCAGATATTCCTTGTGCCGTTCTGGGAGGAATACTAAGCGATAACCAGCCGCGAGGCAATCAATTTGGAAGCGTCAGTTGGCTGAGATATACGGCAGCTTGCGAACTTGACTCTTTACTTATGACTCTACTGACTCCGTCATCGTCATCACAGGTGATAAGAGAACTCGGACTTGTACGGTAATTGTTGATATATGTACTCAATATTACACATCAAGCAAGTAGGAATGGCCAAGTAACCATGGCTTGGGATAACATATACTGCATCAATGTAGGCAGTAATGATGTACAGTTGTATCCAGAACCGTTCTGGGCAATGACAGCATCTTGCCTTTACGGTCCATGATCCCACGAAGACCTTCAAGTGATTAATCAAGTTTCCCAATTTCATTAATCCGCCTCTGTGCCGAGATCGCGTGGATTCGCACCTGAGCCTTTGGCTCTCCTCAATTCTTCCTCCCCTTCTCCTTCTTGCACTCCTTTCTCATATTTCTTGCAACTCGTGTACGTCGGGCTGCAGCCTTGGTGGGCTTCTGGGCTCTGGGGCGCGAAATGGTTGTTCCCAGGCGCTTCAAGGTGGGCTCCTTGCAAAGCTTCAATATGCACTTCTTGCGGAGTTCAATCCAATGGTTGAAGGCTTCGTGGTCCTCCATGGACTCGAGAATCCCGGTACCATCGGTGAATTGCTCAAGGGAGAATTCCACTGTCTTATTTATGACCATGTCGAACCAATTGAGAATCTTTTGGTCGGGGTTCCATTGGAACTCAATGGCCGTTGAGGTGCCGAGAGGTGGGCTCGGCCAGCGAGAATACGAGAACGGAAGGTCGTCAGCTTCAGAATCTTCCTCGTAAGCTTTGTAACGACACCGTGTTGCCCACCAGTCGAAGTTGGCGTTTTTAAGTGTCGCGTACACAGTGTGTGCCAATTTGACTTGTGTGAGATTCTCCAATGAGGGATCGAGCTGACTTATGTTGATCCATGAAGAGCAGCTCTTAATCAAGTTGGCCATGCTCTCGGCTGGCTCATATGGACGAAGTAGATTTGCCCAGGAATCTAGATCGTCTCTAGCGCTGGTTGCCTTCAGCTCGTCTCTCGGTGAATCAGACGCGATGTTTGAGAGGAACGGCAGTCCCATAAAACCTCTCTTAGTGATAGCCATGTTGTCAGGTATATCGATGCCCTGAACGACGATGTGTTTAAAGAAGATCTTGTGACTCTTATCGTCGTCGTTGCTGTGGGACTGTTCTTTGCGCACATATCTCGGCGCTGAGCTAAACAACAAGTCGGACGTGTAATCCATCTTGATAAATGAAGTGTCTGAAAGGGAATTGATGATGACAAGTGTGTCAGGTGATGCTGGAGGCAAGATACTGAAGCAATGCAGTCAAACTGCGGGCGGTAAGACTGAGTAAGATAGAGTGGTATGAGTGTTTGAGGCGGTGGGAAGATGATTGAGTATGGAGAATGCCAGTTGGAAAGAAAAGCAAAAGAAACATTGCAGAAGAAGCGATTATATAGGGTCAGCAGCAAGAACCTTCCCGGTTTTGACACCCTTCCAGCCCGGTACGTCTTGTTCTCGCCGACATCGTGAGCAAATTATATGAATCAAACCATCCGGGCACCTCTTTCGCTTCCGGAGATAGGTTTTGAAGGTTGTGAACCGGGAGTGAAGAATAGTTCGACCGGCCTGAGGTAACTGATAGTGCCAAGAATGAAGCCGCAAGGTTGTAAGATACCAAAATGTATTTGCCTCGTTCCGTCCGACACGTCAACCTTGTTCGTGGAACGAACGGGCACTATATTGACTGAGTTTGGCCGTTCGAAGATACGGAGACTATGGTGATTTACAAGTAGATACGGAAGCTGACTGGATTCAAGGCATACACACAAACTCACGCAGTCATAGTTCCAAAACACAACAAGTAGCAGGTGGATTTTGTCATTTCTATCACTTGCAAGTCCGCATATCTGCAGCCTGCATCCGGGGATATTTAGTTCAAAGAGCTGCACACGATGTGGAAACATATCAAACGGAGTATTGGCATACAAACTCATTACCAAGGCGATGGTTAGGGTTCCGTCCCTTGACCCCCTAACACCGGTAGCGGAGATGGGTACCTGCAGCCGCCGTCCCCAAGTGGACTAGCCTGAACCCAGGAAGGTGGCTTTTGGGGTATCCGGGTGCCTTATCCCAACCCCAAAGTTTCATTCCACCAACATCTCACTTCTGCCAAACCATAGGCCCCTGGCTTACTTACTCATGAAAGCGACTCTTAAATCAAACTTGAGGTCTTTGTATACAAGTCTTTGGTGTAGCAACGGATCACTGCTACACAGCCCTCTCGTCCAACGCCGTACACAGCAACACCCTCAGCCCAAGTTCTCATCGACGACCATGCCGAGACGTACCAGAGCAAGTCTACAAGCTGAGATCAAGGACAAAGCGGGATCTTTACCTATGCCAGCTAGCAATGGAATTCTTCCACCAAACTCCTCGGAGTCAATCCCAACGCTGCTCTTCGAGGATCACTCCAAGTGGGAGAGCTACCTGGAGAACTCGTACCAAAATGCACTGGGCGTTTGGCTCAAAATCTCCAAAAAGAACGCCGAAAAGCCAACAGTCACGTATGATCAAGCGCTCGATGTGGCGCTCTGCTTCGGCTGGATCGACGGGCAACGCAAAGCCTTCGACGAGCAGCACTTCATCCAGAGGTTTACACCACGACGGAAGAACAGTCTCTGGTCAAAGAGGAACGTTGACAAAGTTGCGGCTTTGACACAAGCAGAACGCATGAGACCAGCTGGACAGGCTGAGGTTAACGCCGCCAAGGCCGATGGGCGATGGGATCGAGCCTACTCTTCTGCAAACACGATGGAAGTGCCTTTAGACTTCGCGGAGGCGTTGCGCCGCAACAATGAGGCAAACGAGTTCTTTGATGCTTTGAATAAGACGCAGCGGTATGCCTTCCTGTGGCGGATCGAGACGACGAGACGTCCAGAAACGAGGAAACGAAAGATAGACCAGTTTGTCAATCTATTAGCTGAGCACAAGACACTTTGAAAGAAGTTCTCGGACTACTGATGGAAATACGGAGTTGGATAGCTTTATGCATGTATTTGATAAGAACGAAAGAACTTCAAGCAATGGGTCCCTGTGATGACCGGAATGTCCGCAATGTGAGCTTTATATTGCAGCTTATCCAGTTTTGCATGCGTCTTTCACTTGGTTGGCCACATCAAGAGGTTAGCACCCTTATCCCGAGCCTTGTGAGATTCAACCTGCCTACTGTCGCGGCAGAGGAACTATGGAAATGATCGGAACCAATTCGTTTGTGCTTTTGAATCGGAATTGGTGTAACCATGTAGCCATCCACGTTCTGCGGAGTCATTGGTTCACGCCAATATCCCCAGCTATCCTTTTCCAATATGCGTACATGTAGATTCTTAAGACGCTATCAAGCTTGGAGTAAGAGCAGGCGATGTTCATGCGAAAACATTTGACAAATGAGCCAAAGATCAGGTTCGAAAACCTTCCTGATTCGATGTAGAGCATGACCATAGTAGTATGGGTGTTGGCCAGAAAAGAAGTGCAGCGTCTGACTAGGGGCTGAGCGTACATTGCTGGTGTTGCTGCATGATTCGATCGGGCGATTGCACTGGACAGGGCATCAAAATAGCACAAGTAGCAGATTTGATTTGACTCACCCGCGCCCTTCGCTCCGACATTTCTACAAGTCGACCTTTTGATTACCATCTCGAATGACCGATCTGGTCTGACCCGACATGTTGACAACCCGCAGCAGAATAGCATGGAGGCTCGTGGAAATCTGCAACACCTTGCTACTCCAACTTGCGCCCTTCAATTTCATGGTGCTGATGAGGCCAGTGTTCTCCACGCTAGGCAGCAGCCGTCAGCAGCGTCATTCCAGGGGTTCGTGCATTTTCCCGATTCGGATTACCACCATGGAAGTACGGAGTAAGCATTCTACAGTTGACCGTCAAGTCATCACAGCCAATAGAAACTTGGAGATAGTCTTGGCATCCTACCTTTCTCTCCTCATTGTCGAGTCACTTCTACTGCTACATCTCCGTTGCTTGGCGACATTCGAAATATATGTATCAACAGCAATCACGTTCAGCTTCCCAGGGCAGTTATATTTCCACAACGTCACTAAGCCAGACTTCGACCTGGCAATCCAATCTGAACTCTGCTTGCCCGATTTTTCTTCCTCCATAGGGGTTAGATGATTATCTTTCACGAGAATGATGGATGACCTACTCCCTCAAAGAATCGTTCGAATCGCCCGGCAACTCTCGGTCACCCCGGCTGAGCTCATTGAGCCTGTCCTCGCCGACCTCCCATATCACCGAATCCTCGACCTTCTGGGAACTCAGTATGGCGCAAATTCTCCTCACGGCACGTCCCTTCAGTCAGCTCTCG